GATTCCGCTTGAGGGGGGGGTCGGCTTAGAGTAGGAGGTCGCGGAGGCCCCCACACGGGATGACGCGGCGGGCTTTCCTTTTTGTTGCCAGGACGGCATGTATAGGGGCGCGGTGAGGGAGAGTTCGGACATATCGGATGACTATAAATGGTCGGTTGCTTTTTTTTGCTTATTTTCCCCTTTTCTCTCACCCACTCAGGTGTAATCACCTCCGATGTGTAAAAATAGGTGTTACTAGGGATCAAGTATACTGTGCCGCAGCGAAAACGACGACAGCGACCCTGAAAATAGTGAGTCCACTGCACAGATCTTTTATATTGACTGGAATGATCAAACCCGTAAGAAGTTGACTATGTTAAAGGCTCTACTTGCCACTTTGAGTGACTCTTCAGGCTTGCTAATTAATTGCTTTTGTAATAATTAGATCTATTTATATTTTCTGTATAGAAATTGTGCGTACACAAACCTATATGTGCAACAGAAGTTCAAGATCAAGTGCCACAAACAATAAAAAGACTAGTTGGAGAAGAGACACTAAAATGATTAAGCATGAAGTTAACGTTTGCAAGCATAAGAGGAAAGGTTTGAAATGCAGTTAAAGTTATAAAATTTCGCGATCAAATGACAATGAATTAATGTTTACAAATTGTACTATCTTCAGCTTGTATTGCTTGCGTGTCAGTCAGATACTATTTAAACCTAATAAAATAACTTATGCGAACTAAATCATATATAACGAATTATGCAAGACACATTCAATTAATACGTGTGCAGTTCAAAGTCTATTCGACGTCGTATACGTGCAGGCATGTCATTTTCCTGAAAAGGGACCGAACTATAGTTAATTTGATTTATAGAATCCATGCTTGCTTTTTGTTCCCTACTTTTAGGGTTTTCGCCTGATTTGTCTTAATATTGAAACAACCTCTGATTGGTCTTTGTTGAGAGACCCATTTGTGTTATATCATTTTTTTCCATCTTCCAGAAAGTATTTCTGGATATTTCGAATACGTTTATCTCTTTAATTCTTTGCCCCTCTTCATATTTTTTATTTAGATACTGACTTCTTGATTTCCATTTTCTTTTAGATTTTCAATCTTCCACACTTTCAAGGCGTTACCCGTTTCGGGTCGCGCGGGAACATAGACACCAGGCGCACGTTGTTAAGCCCAAGGTATAACATTACCACTCGTTCCATGCCCACCCCAAACCCCCCATGAGGCCATGCTCCCAGGCGAAAGCTGTCCACATAATCCTTACATGGCGTGAGATCCACCTTTAGCATCGCTGCGCGCTCTAGCAGCATCTCTGGTATGTGAATACGCTGTGCACCACTAGATATTTCTTCGCCACGTATGAAGATGTCATAGGAGTTGGTAAACTGAATGTCATCCTTACACGGCATTGTGTAAAAGGGTCGCACTGAGGAGGGAAAGCGATCTGATATAAAGAAATCCACTCCATATCGTTCTTTGATAATCTTCCCAAGGAGCTTTTCGTTCACCGTGTTAATATCATCTGTGGGTTCCAGCTTTTCTTCCAAAACCGTGTTAAGCAGTTTGATGCAATAGAAGTAGTTTATACGGAGCATACGACTTTTGCAATTGTTCACGCGCGCTTCATAGATGTCCGTAGGTTCGGTGCCATCTGAAATAATCCCAACACCAAGTTTACTTATCGTATCCGGTGTGATCTTCCACACCAGTGGCTCAAAGGGGTATTGTTTGCAAATCGCTGCCAGCTCCTCCGTGTGCGTGGAGAGGTGCGCAAACATGTAGTCGAAAAGATTCTCCGCAAGGTCCAGGACTTCGTAGTAATGCTCGTTAATGCGCATTTCGACATCCAATCCAACAAACTCTGTGAGATGGCGGTGAGTATTACTGTTCTCAGCACGAAACACAGGGGCCACTTCGAACACGCGCGGTAAGTCTCCCTGCAGAGCCATCTGCTTGTACAACTGAGGTGACTGCGCAAGAAAGGCATCACCGTTAAAGTACTTCACCTTAAACACGTTGGCACCACCCTCACTCGCGGAGCTGATGATCTTTGGAGAGTGTATCTCAATGAAGTCGTTGTCTAGTAGGAACTGGCGAAAGTACTGGCACACGCGGGATTGGATACGTAATATAGCTCCCGAGGACGGTGTGCGCATATCCATCCAGCGACAGTTCAGCCGCGTATCGAGGTTTACCTGTGGGTTCTCCTTATCTTCCCCACGGCTCGCGTCCTCCAGGGTAAAGGGCAGAGTTCGCTGGGATTCTGACACGATGTGAATCGTCGATGCCTTCAGCTCCACCTCGGACACCTTCGCGGTGGCGATGGGCACATCAACGCCGTGGACGGTTGCCTTGATGTCTACAATCGACTCGCACGGGATCTGCGCCGCGAAGTCGATCATCGCCTTTGGGATATCCTCACTGACGGAGGCCATAGCCTGGATCGACCATCCCTCATCGCGCAGCAGCAGAAAAACCATCTTTCCTGTCTTGCGTGTGGTTGAGACGCGCGCGCGAACGAACACCTCCTGACCTTCCATCTGTCGAGATATGCTCGAGATCGGCGTGAGTTTAATACTGTTGTATGTGGTAGATTCCACTATTGGTGCATGTCCAAATATCTTTTTGTACTTGGCAAGCATTATTGCCTTTTCCTCGGCACAGGCCTTTTCTTCTGCCAATCGAGCCAGCTTCCGTGCCTCCTTCTTGTCTATCTTTGGGGCAGATCCTGCTGTCACCGTTTCATTGGTTCCATTGTTACTCATTTTTGATAATTTTGTGAAATATATTTTTATTGTAATATCATTAATTTTAGATTATTCACCTTTTTCAGAAAAATAGGAGGCAAAGAAGAATAGAGTTGAAGAATAAACTATGGATTTTATAATTATATTCTAAGCACAACATATACTAGACACGGAGGTAACGTGAATAGTGATGACCGAAAATTTGTCATATAAAAACGAAATAGCTACCAGTGTATGGACTCATGAATGCATATTAAAAAACACTTCGGTTTAATTTATATCTTTTGCCACATGATCCTTGATAAAGTTTATCACCTTCCCGTAGTGTCTAAATAAATTCGGTTTAGTGAAGGTGTGACCAAGTGGCTGTAATCCTCCTTACACAACTGAAATTACAGTCCAATAGCTACGACAATCAAATTAAGACTAAAGTCGTATTCCCGAGTCCTGAGATCATGCCTCTTTCTTTCTCCACCCTTCAAACGTTATCATGGCACACATGACATTAAGAAATAGTTTTCTAGAAAAGAAATAGGGAACTAATTGCTTATCCGTTTCTGAAACTTTGATCTTCATACTCATTGCTGTCGCTTCCACCATCGCTGTCTTTCTGTATATACATGATGATGACTGGTTGTTATCTATGGAGATCTTTCCCCCTGCCACACTTTCTATGTCGTGCGTGATGAAGAAGCTTAAAGTGAGAAGGGGGGGAG